ATACTGATCATGTGTTTTAACTTCCCAGCAAGGTTCTTGGAATGTAAAATTTCTGGTCTCATTCCTTCCATCTCTCTTTGTCAAATTAGTTAGTTCTGTAGTACAGCAAGCATGCATATCACAAGATAAAAAGAACAAAAAACAAATAGATTCCTACTAGATGATGATTATCAACAAAAAAAAACAAAGAAAAAATAGATCGGTTCCGGCCTAAATCCAATCCATTTAGACGAGATCAAATAGGTTTCTACTGACTTATACCGGACCAGTGAACCTCGACCTAATCCAATCACCTTGAGTTGAATCCTCCTTGTGCAAATCTTTAGGATTTTAAGTTGCTTATCTTTCTTAATCAATGACTATTTTTTGTCAGTATATCTTTTTAAAGAATATCATTTCATTTCATTTTATATTCATCTTACATATAATAAAGAATATTATGAGAATTATTGATGTGCTTTACTAAGCTTCGCAACAGAAATCTCAAGACATTTGGTGACTACCATAAAGTTGATATGCTTTACTAAGCTTCGCAACAAAAATCTCAAGACTACCACAAAGATTTTAATTCAAAAGTTAAAAGTTGATGGCTGGGGAACTCTTTTAGAAGAAGTGACATCATTTTGTAAGCAATAAGATATTGAAGTTTCTGATATGAATACTTGCTTTTCTAATGTGAGACGATCTTGCCGTAAAACAAAATCAACAATAGTTGAGCATTACTATCGAGTTGAAATATTTACAGTTATCATTGATCAACAGTTGCAAGAGTTAAATAATAGATTTAATAAGCAGGTGATCGAGCTTTTTAAGTTGAGCACAACTTTAGATCCTAAAAATAACTATAAATTGTTTTTATTGTTCTTATTTGTTGACAAGTTTTATCCTAAAGACTTTTCTGACCAAGAAAAAACTCATTTGAGATTTCAGTTGCAGCATTATATGCTTGATGTATCCAATCATCCAAAGTTAAATAATATGCCATCGATTGCTGATTTATATCAAGAATTGGTTGAAACAGAAAAATCAACAATTTATCCATTCATTGACAGGTTTATTTGACTTATTTTGACTCTTCCTGTTTCGATAGTAACTACTGAACGTGTTTTTTCAGTGATAAGTATTGTTAAAACACAACTTCACAATCTTTTTCAGTGATAAATATTGTTAAAACACAACTTCACAATCTGATGGAGGATGATTTCCTTGTAAATTATTTGATTGTTTATATTGAAAAAGAAATTACTGAAAAATTCATAATTGATATGATAATCAATGATTTCTACTTCATGAAAGAAAGACAAGCACAATTAAAATAAATATTTAAGGATCATTCTTTATTATTTTTTACTTTATTTTAAAGTTTTATCAAACATAAATAATGCATTGTTTTAGCTAATGTTTCTTATTTATTTTATATGTTTATATTTGATAGGTACAAAGACTAACAAAATTAAAGTAACAAATATATTATGAAAATAAAATTAATTTCATAACTTTGACTCAATTTGATATTGTTTTAAACCTCTTATCTTATACAAAGATCATTATATGTTTGTAGTTACTTCTTTCATGTAGTTGTTTTTTATTTTTACAATTCATGTATAGCAAATTAAAAAATCTTTTTATATTATTTTAGGTTTTTTTTTTATTTTTACAATTCATGTATAGTAAATTAAAAAATCTTTTTATATTATTTTAGCTTTTTTTCTTAAATAATCCTAGCTCTTTCACTGGCCAAATTGATTATCTTGAACATGTGAGGGTCATATTCTATAGAGATTTTGCAGGTGAGTATGAAAGTCACTGTATGAATCCATTAATTACTAGTCAAGACCAATTGCTCTCCTAGTCCAAGATGCAGTCATTAAAGACTCAAACTAGTTTGAAATTTTCACTAACAGTACTCTGATGGTAAGTTGGTTGTACACGATGTGGATTCATGATTAAGGTTTTTTTATATATGGCTTCGAATGAATTTTGAGCGCATGCAGTTCTTTTATTAATTTGGATGCGTGTTTGATGTTTTTTTTTATACATGTATCCAACACCAAAGAAAAGAGAGAGAGAGAAACCCATCAATTACCTGCATGAAATTGTCATAAATTAATGTAATTAATTCAAGTTACTTTTGGAGTTTGGATTTAAAGAAATTAAAATAATTAAATTATAATTGGAAGTACAGTAGAAAAATCAAATAATTAATAACATGATTCTCATGTAACGTACCATAATTCCGGCACGTCCCGAAATAAAAACGAAAACGAACTCTTTAAATGGATCGATTTCTCTTTAACCAGTGTCTTTTCGATTCCCATAAGAGCTTGGCTCTCAGGGGAAAATGTTCAGGCCGAAAACCGATAGTGTTCCATCCATGGTATGTGCACCGTCCAAGGGACAAATTAAAAGGTGAGCTAGCTAGCTATCTAGCAGGTGTTTAGTGATAAGAGTTTAAAAATAAAATGTTTGTGTTTTTATGGTTTCATATTTGAATGTTGTAGTTGTTAATATAATAATTATTTGAGATTTATATAATTATTAATTTTAAAACTCATAAAATTAACTAAAATACACGGAAATTAACTAGATATTATATTAGTAAAAGAAAAGGAAAGCTAGCTAGCTATTGAAGCAAAGAGACGGCGGCATATTATTGCATGTGAAAACAGCTATATACCTTCTTGACCATCTTACTGCTTGTTTTCCATGAAACGAATCACTTAAGACATAGTAAAATAAATGGACGAAAACCCGTTAAGAAAAAAGGGTAGGTTTTCTCTATATTTTCCGTGTATAGATTTTTTCTATTTTGAGTTCTTGGGAATTAGTACCGTTGCAGATCGTCTCTGCTAAAGAAGAAAGTTCATTTTCCACAACTCCCCACCCTAACTTCTGCTTTCTCCAAATGCCAAGCCGTCGAAAATACAAGAAGAGTTTTGGCACGAAATATCAAGTTCAAAACTATGGTGACTCTTCAGTTCGGCTTTCAAGAAAATCAAATTAGAGCTAAGAAACTGGTACGGTAATTAAGATGACACTTGAAATATCTGTAGTTTTCAACAGGGCAAATAAAAGTTTGGCTTATGACTCAAGTTTTATTACAAATTAATTTGGGTGCATGCATGATTGTGTAAGGTTTTAACTAGTCCAAATTCAAATGCTCGTTGCTGTTTAGAGGGTGCAAGTGATCATTACGCAAATAGATTAGCAGAAATATTATAATATTCTCCCTCGTTCAAATTAATACCTCAAGAGTGAAACAATTGTTAATTTGTACTGCAATATACATATGCATATACATATGCATATACATATACATATGTATATGTATGTATATATATATATGTATGTATATATATATATGTGTGTATGTATATGTCACCTATTTTTACAGAGAAGTTCTTTCGTCATCCTTATTCTATGGTCTTCTGTGAATGCTATAAATTTCTTGTGAAATGAAAAAAAAAAATATTTCCCTTGACTTGTATGGATTTTTCTTAAATGTATCCTGAAAGTATACATCCATAGATAAACAACTTGTTTTAAATTATAATAGTGATTATTTTTTAAAATATTTTTTATTTGAAAATATATTTTAAAAAAATTATTTGTGATATTAATATATAAAAATAATTGAAGATATTTTCAAAAAATTAAAAAACAATTCACAACGAGCTGGGTTCCCAAACAAGCTTGAACTTGCGTCACTTGTTGCATTTGCATTTCTATTTTTTTCAATTCTCTTGCATTTGCTTTTCAACTCCATTTTTGTTTTCGAGCATTGAAGATTCCATCTCCGAGTTTTTTTTTCTCCGTTCGGAAGATATGTTTGAAAAATTAGCCTTTGCTCAAAGTTGAACATTGACGAAATTGAAAATTCTAAATGACCGTACTGTTAATGTATTCTTATTTAATTGAAAGTAGGATATAATTTCATCTGTTTTTTCTCTCTTGTTGTGCAAAATAATGAAAATGTAAGTTTTATTAATTTGGTCCAAAATGCATGAATTGAGATTTTATTTGGGAACGAAAAACACAATAAATTCAAAATAACCAAATCGAATTAACCAAAAATCATATATTATTAATTTTGTAATGAGTTTCAACCGAAGTAATAATGTGTAGTCCTTAATTTAGTGATACAAATTAAGTTATCCCCATTTTCTTTTCCACAAAACTTTTCATCTAAGTTATTCAATTAATTAGAACTTCCTATTCCTCCTTTTTATTCCTCTTCAGAGGGCAATTTTTCTTCTTTCTTGTTACAGCTTGTTGGGATTTTCCTTTTCTTTTCTGAGGCTAAGACAAAGGATTTAGGTGAGAATAAAATATTTGATTGCCGTTTCTGATATGTTAATTAGGTGAAACATAAAACTTAATTTCCTTCCAAACATTTTTGCTTGAAAAAGCTCAAGAGAAGAATATTCATCTACAAAGAAATTAGGAAAGAAATAATACAGGGTGGTTTCTAGATTAGCAGTCACCTATGATGAATCAAAACAAACATTAATCAACATCCTTAAAGAGAAGAACTCATGTTAACTGACCTAGTCCTTAATTTAAATTCAACAATATAGTCCTTAATTTAAATTCAACAATATAAAAAACGCATTAATCAACATCCGTAAAGAGAAGAACTCATGTTAACAGACCTAGTCCTTAATTTAAGTTCAACAATATAAAAAACACATTAATCAACATCCATAAAGAGAAGAACTCATGTTAACTAACCTAGTGCTTGATTTAAGTTCAACAATATAAAAAATGTATGATTTTCACTCTGAAACATTTTGATAGCTCTAGTATTTTACAGAACTTAATTTGAAACCAAAAGAGAACGAAGTACATGAACTATAATAGCCTAATCTAACTTGCTACATGTTATTCATTTTGTTTATAATAATGCGAGCTCATTTTTAAATCTAACACCCTAAAATACATATAATAAGTCGATAATCAGTACTATTAATAAAACGAGTTACCATTCCATCGCCATCAATATGGAATATTACATTAACAAAACTTAATTCAGTATCATGCACTTATATCAAGACTGAAGAATTGCAGATACATAACATTCATAAGATCAGTACTTACTCAATTTCAAAGCATAACAAGAGATGAAATTAACAAGGGCTAGAAGAGGAGCGCAAGCAAGCAATTTCAAGTGCTTGCTTTTCAGTAAACTCACAACAGAACATTAACTTATTATACAAGTGGGATAATGAAAAACGAGCCACATAATTCAAGTGCATATGCTAATATCATTTTATGTTGCTTATGACAGGAACTTCACCTTGGAGTTTGCTTGCCTCAACGATGAAATTAATTCGCATTTCTTACTTCTAAAGCACCAACTTATTATTGTTTAGTTGACTTAGTTCTGCATTCTTTGAAAAATAGCAGCCCTCATAACTTCTTCAGTTACCAATCCATCAGGAATTATAATCACAACATCTTGAAGCACCAGATCCTTGACCTTGGACACGCTCGCGTGATGAACTGAAAACTCCAGCTCTCTAAGTGCATCCATCAATCTTGCAGCTGGATAATTAACATCCGGGGATTGTACACGGATCAGAGCTTCCGATCCCAAAATCTTCACATCCACTTCCATTGCATTATTGGACATATAATTTGGAGTGGGCCTTATGTGATTCGTCATGGTGCTGGTGCTGGTGCTTTGGTTGTCATAAATGTTTGCATTACCAGAGATTTTTGATTTCTTGGATACTGCTCGCAGCTTGCCCTCCAATTCATTAACTTTGCTCTTGAGCTCTTTAATATAAGTAGCTGCATCTGCGAGCAAAGATGCCTTGTCCATCTTTGACACATTCGGGACCACGGATCGAAGTGCATAGAATCGATGATTTAGCCTCTCTCTTCGCTGCCTTTCTGCTTCCACATGGTTTAGAGGCAATTCTTTTCCACCTGGCTTTCTTCCTCTCTTCTTGAACCCGATATTATTCTCTGTGAATCCAGCATCTGAATCAGAACGCCCTGAGTCCGAAGACGATCGGCCTTGGCCTGAGGGTTCTTTCCGTGTGTCGCTTTCTTTTTGATTCTCTAGAGAAGTTGTTCTCTCCTTTTGAGGACTTGAAAACATTCCAAAATCAAGGAAATTAGAAACAGTGCGGTTTGGAATTTGAGGTTGAGATTCCTGGTTGGCCTGCTTTGGAAATGAACCCGCATTGATGTCTGCACCAAAAATTGATTTGGCTAATTGCACTAGGGCCCAATCTTCACTGATCAAATCCGGGGAACCCAATTCAAGAACCCCGGATGGAGTTGAAACACAGACGAAAGTCTGAATTCCATGCATCCGAGCTTCTTTGACTCTCTCGCAGTCATAAATTTGCAGTTCATGATCACCTGTCAACCAAATGAAAGCGCCAGAGCTAAATGCCCTGCCAAGAATTCCATCTCCAACGGCAAATGCTCGTGTTACCGATACTGTGTAGTACCATTCAGCAACATCACCTTCAACCAATCTGTCCATGTCCATATCCTCACTGAAAAGAGACTTTCTTTCAAGATTGAAGCCGAATTTGGAATGGTTTTGCTTGTTGCTATCCTTGCTTGCATACTTTTTATTACCACGGAAATGGCCATCGCCCAATGATAAAACAAGGCGGCCGCTGGCATCTTTTGATGCCTGCCAGAAGATGGAGTAAACCCACCATTCTGGCCGGCTATGAAGGAAGAATTGGAGGCGTTGTTGAAGTGTTGAAGAGGTTTCTTGGGCAAATGACATGAGTGAAGATGAAGAAGAGGAGGACAGTATCTCTTCCATTGATTAATTTTGTTTTCTTTTCTTTTTGTTTCTAGCTTTTCAGCTCTACCTCACTGTGTTGATGGAGTGGGGGAGTGGGGGAGATTGTATAAAAGCCAAAACGTAATTGTAAATGAAAGAGAGGTGGGAGGTTATGTACAAGAGATTTCCGCTTATAAAAAGACTTCCTGAAGCATTGTGCTTGGTCATGTACTGTAGTTTCTACTGTTTTCCACCATTATCACGTGAAGTTATTACGAAGATTATGATGCCAACACTTGGTAAAAATTATGTTCTGGTTTCATTGAATCTTGTCACATCTAGTGTAAAATGATTTTGAATGAGATGTTTTCTGACGTTTTAGGTACCATTGTTTCTGTTTAGGATATACACCTTTCAAGGTAAGTTGTATTTGCACTGCTTGATAAATTATTACCAAGAATTTTACTTCGATATGTGGGAAGATCCATGACCTGACTTTTTTGTAACAGAAATATAGATTCAAAATTAAATTTTCTCAAACTAATAAGCTTAGCTCCAGTGCTAGCAGAACTCTTTCTATGAGAAGAGGTTCGTAGTTTCATTATGTAAATCCAATAACTATAATAGTAATCATAGATTGTATGAGCAACATTTCATTCTCTGTACCTAGCATACTTCCAAAATCAGTTGTCCAATCTTTTTCATTTAGAATTGTCAAAAACCATAGTTCTTTTTTTTTTCATGTGATTCAATAACAGCAGTCTCCTCTCTATTTACTGTGATACTAGGGCAAAAAAATAAAAGCAACAAAACATGGACAAAAGATATTCTGTCATGGTTTAACAAGGAAAACGGCGATGAAATAAAAAAATAAAATCATGTCTTCATTTTCAATGTGTTAAATTACGGATAAGAACTTCATCAATAAATTTAGAAGGAATTAAAACTAGATAGCACTCTCGTTCTTCCATTTCATCTTTTTTCTTTTAGAAGGTGTTTAAAATTATAGTAATGGTTATTTTTTAAAGTATTTTTTATTTAAAAATATATTAAAATATTTTTTATATTTTTTAAAAATTATTTTTAATATCAACACCTAAACAAAATATATCAAAAAAACTAAAAATATTAATTTGAAACAAATAAAAAAATTAATTCAAAATTTGGACAACTCTTCTTCAAAAATTCAGCTACCACAACTCACTAGCACTAATGCATCATCTAAGCTTATCTCTATTGATTTTATTTCTTGTCATGTTTCACTTCACCAAGTAAGCAAGCATATTAGCTTCTCTCTCTTGATTTCATTTCTTGTCAAGTTTCACTCAACCAAGTAAGTAAACATATTCATTTATGTTTTAACACATTTATGTCTTAAGTTAATTTATTAAAATTTATTTTTATTATTTCTAATTTGCTTATATATTTAACTGTTTTACTTGCTTTATAATTATAATTTTGTATTAATATGATTTGTATAATATTAATATATGATTTATATTTTAGGTTTTTTTTGGGAAATGGATTTAATTTGTTAATTGATAAAATTGAGTGTGTTTTTGTAACTTAGGTGTGTTAGAATTGAAAAAATAATGGGTAATTTAGTGGGTACAAGTTATTTTGTGTCAATTCTATGGTTAAGTTTGAAAATTTAGGGAAATTGAATGTATGGAATTGATAATTATTACAAGTATTAATTTAGGTTGAATAAGTTTCAATTGAAGAAATGATGGATAATTAATTGGATCCCAAATAATTTTAGTTTAATGATAGGTTTTGTTGAAAATTTAGAAAAAAATAAATTATTGTATTATTGATAACAATTAGGATATTAATTGATTTTATTTATTCTTGAATTGAATAAATAATGGGTAGTTAGTTAGGTACCACTTATGTTTTGTCAATTTTATGATTTAGTTAAAAGTTTGGGGAAAAAAATGAATTTATGTGGAACTAATAACAATTTGGGGCTAAGTATGTTTCAACTTATAACGTATTTGATAGTTGTTAGATTATAAATTATATTTTTTCAAATTCGGAGAATTGAGTTACCTTGGAATTAAAAAAATGATGAGTTATTAGTTGGTTTGTGTAGGATAATTGTGATTTATTTTTAATAAATAATTGAATTTATGTTTGATAACATGTTTCAATTCTTGAATTGTGTTAATTGTCTCCTTTTATAATGCATTCAAGAAGATATTAAATTACCAAATTTAAATTAATCAATCATATATTATTGTAAACTTGTATTCCTTTATTATTTATTTTCTTACCTAATTTATGTAAAATAAATTTATGTATCAACTTGCGTTATTTTTTTTTATAATGCCCATAAACAAGCAATTAAGAAGGTCGGGTTGAATGATATAAAGAGAAGTAAAAATTATAAACCGAAGTATGCCACAAATGATAATTAGGCAATGTATTTTGAATTCGTGGTTTTAGAAGTATTTCAAAGCACTCGAGACCTATTACATAAAATAAAAATAAAAAACCTCGAGGTTTAATGAGCAAGCACACTAAAAAAATAATTATATTTACCCACCATGAGAAACGCCTAGCAAGAGCTTATTGCTATATATGTTTTATTATTTTTCTTATAGTTTTAATTACATGTTTATTAATAAGACTTTCAATAAACTATTTGATTTTTAGATAAAATAGATTGGACAAGAACCAACTCTAATAGAGTTATACGAGGAGAGTCATATAAAAAATAGGGACATGGGAAAAAAGAAAAAGAGTTTGTCAAGAATAGAGTAGAAGCCTTCATTGGAAGTGTTTTGATAGTTATTATTGGTTTAAGATGTTAAAATTGTTTATTTATGTCAATAATACAAATTTTTATTAGATTTTGAAATTTAATTTTTTATTTTATTTTATAGGAGAGATATAACGCCAACATGGTTAATAAATTTAGCAAAAACACTTTCACTCATCCTCCTTACAACGCTTAATTATGATTGGAGGCTGTCATATGTGATGAACTCGATAGAAATTAGATTTATGATTTTTCTATAACATTAGCCTAAGAACTAAGGTTGGGCTATACAATTTTAAATTTAGACACACCATATTTGAGCTCATACTATTCATCACATGAATTTAATGAGATTGTGTAGAAAATAGAACAAATGGTTGTTAAAATTAAGAAGATGAGTGCACAATTCCTAGAACAAAATAAGATGTATTAGGCTCAACTAAGTACATGTATAGGTGGGACACCCCCCCTCCCCCGATGCTTCCTTGACCTTCTAGTTGAGTATCTTTTACTTCTCCTTCATCTCTGTCTTCAGCACCTCCCACATAATGTATCAAGTATATATACTTCACATTATTGATCATATTGTATTTTAATTGTAACTTTAATAGTTCCTTAGTGATATCTCTTATTGCATTTCTATTTTTTTAATGTTTGCATATTTATATCTATCTCATTGTTATGCATTATTTATGTGCATTTACTATTTAAATCTTTCAACTATGAAAACTCCTAAGTCTACATAATTCATTAATCATTAATCATTATGAAATTTATCTAAGTTAATTTTTGAAGATGTTTTTTCTTTTGTTGGTTATGGGTTTACCGAGCCATAAATTATTGGTTTGGAGATTATAACAAACAAAATCTCTAATGAAAAAGCAATTTTGTTAAGATTTCCACCAAAAATTTCATATTCATTTTAAAACTTTTGGTAAACCTTACAGAATATGTAGCAATTTACATACTAAATTAGTCGACAAAATATTCTGTAAGAATTAAATGGTGATGGAATCTCTAACAAAAAATAAGAGGTAAAAGTTAAGTTTTAGACATGAATATTTCATCAATAATTACATCATTATTTAAAACTACCAATATAATAGAAAAACCATTGAGATGTTTTTTTATGATGACATTTCATCATTGTTATATTCTATTTTCAATGTTGATGGAATTTATTTTATATATAGATAGAATATTTTGTTGATATTTTTAAAAAAATTTATTTATAAAAAAATGGGTCCATAATTAGATTGAATTAATGGAAGAAACAAGGACTTAACAAGGCACTTTTCTAGTGACTAACATGACAACTTTACACCCTAATATCCACTTAAAACTGTAAATTTGTGATCCAATCCGAACATTAAACAAAACAAAAACAGATAATCTCATGTACTAGATGCAATCCACAAAAAAAAAAAGAATAAAGAAAAAAGAAAAAGAAAGAAAACCTTAAAATTTAAGATAGTAAAATATCTATATCCATATAGTTGGACTATTAAAATCATTAGATCAAACAACTAGAAATGAAATTATTAAAAAAAAAATTAGTGGAGTTCACCGACTAGCAAATTTGAATGGAAATTCTATGAACCTTTATTTGATTTTGGTCTTAGAAAAAAAATACCAGTTTTTTCCGTAATCAGTCAACATGACTTGTAGGTTTCGCTAATGGCCCACATAACGTTGCTATGTGTAGAACTTTGATTTGCTAACCTTCAACGTGATATATGTTTCTCAAATTCGAACATCTATATTGCTGGAGCAGCTTGTACAAAATTAGCAGGTGTAATTAAGAAATTAATGGCCATTGACTGCTGCTTGTTAAAAAGGTCGATATATCGCCTATCTTAATATATAGTTTAGGGCTAATCTCTAGCTTAATCTAATGGATGTACTTTTTAGAAAATCAGAATAATTATGTTGCTCCGATTATAATAAATTACCCTACATGCGTCGAGTACTGAAGAAAATTCAAATATTAATTCTTGTTGTTTACAGTACTATCACACAAGAAACTATAGTTGTCAAATACAATCGGATAATTGACTTCAAAAAGAATTTGGGTTATCAGATTATTGGATCTGTCTGCGGATCACCGCGTTAACTCTATAGATCAATAACATATATTACATTAAAATAATTTTGCATGCTGAATTTAAACTTGCTTTAATTTTAACATAACTTCTAATCTTAATTTCAATAAATTATGACATATACAAGCCCATGGAAATTGAGTCCAAGAGCTTAAAAAGATTGACGGTTTTCTTGCTTCTTTTTCAATAGTAAAATTGTAGATAGAAAATGTAAATTAATCCAGAGTATTTCTTTCATCTCCATCTTCTACTAAAAACCCTCTAGTTTGGTTATCTTAAAAAAAACAAAAAAAAA